ATGTTTTAAATTTGAGCTCATTTGGAGTAGATTTGGGCATTGAGTATATTTGGTCTTTTCCTTTTTCTTAAACTCTATATCCAGTCAAATAGACACATAAATTAAAACGGATGGAGTAATTTTTATTCCCTCCGTCTCGTTTTATGTAACACATTTCTTTATTTAGTATATTTTAAAAAGAATGATATCTTTTTATATTTAAGAATAATTTAAATTTAAAGTTTTTATTTTACTCTTAATAAAATAATTTCAAGCCATAGAAATATCTATAACATATAAAATAATTTCAAGCCATAGAAATATCTATAACATATTTTAAACCACAAGTTTTATTTTTTTTAATTTCTTTCTTAAATAATATGTAAGTCAAAGATCATCATATAAATTGGAGCAAAAGGATTACCATATTTATAAGGTGATCTAAAAAAAGTTAAATTTTTTGTTATTTGTGTACACGAAGAATAAATTTGCCTCGTTTGTACTTGCACATGTTATGTTACTATTTATAATATCGTGTTGTATTTGTTAAGGATTTATTAATATAAAATTAATATTTTGTATATTTATTCACAATATATAAGTAAGGTAAAGAGAAGTATGTACCTAAGAAAATTATTGGGAAGTGACTTAAATGAAAGTAACTCATGTGTCTGGTGCATTTGCGGGAACAATGATTTTGGTCAATCCTCCTTGCAAAATTAGGATGATCACATCACTTGTGGTTTAAATTGCAAAGACAAATATTTTTCTTTTTCCTCTTTATTATATAATTTTATATTACAAAGTTTAATATTTTTTAATTAATATCTAATGGCGTTGAATAATGACTTTTTCTTTGTGATTAAAGTTGGCTGAAAAACGGTTTAGCTATTATATTCTTCGACATCATTTCTCATGGCAAATCACGTACCGTAGTTACTACTTTTTAAAATTAAAGTATGGCAAAGTGAGGATATGATAGATTTTTCTTTAAATAAATGATTATTCTTCTTCTTTTTATTGTATTTCAAGTTTTTGATTGATTTTTGCAATTGCTTAAAATTTCTCCCTTAGAATATTAGTTACCAGTTGCTGAAGTATTAATTTTTTATAATTAGAAAATAATCTTTTTGTCTATTTTGCATAAATTTGCACATAATTCATATAGCGTCGTATTTTGGGTGATTGTATTTATTACTCGAATAATTTTTTTCACTCTAAGTACCAGTGATAAAAAGAATAATATGTTGTATAACATTACAAAATAAGATTTTATAAACTCAATTTTGAATTACTTATTATCATCAAACATAAATACTAAATGAGTATATGGTGCCAGTAAAAGTGAGATACCCATTTCGAGTTTTTTTTTAACCGTCCATCTTTCTATAACTCTTCTCAATTTTGAGGATTGACGTGCAGTAAATGTGATGGTTTCAACATGTTACTAAGTTAGCAATAATTATTTTTTTAAAGAAAGTGTTCTAAAAAGTTTTTGGGTTACTTTTCTCCTTTTTTTAACCACAAAATAAAGATGATCGCTATATATTTTAAAATTGTTGCACTTGGTATGTTTATTATAATATCAAGCAAAATACTTTTATATTTTGTTCTACATTAGATTCGGTAAATAATTTCTACATTTTTGTTTATTTACATTATTATGTAAAGTTGGTTAGCTCTAGTTTATTAATCCATCTGGTCCATAATAAGCTAGCGTTTGGCCATAGATTCCCAAATTTGTTCTGAAAAATCTGATTTGGGTGAAGTTTGGTTTGAAGATGAAAATGCGTTTGGACATCAGTTTTCAAAACATATTTTCCAAATTTATTTTGAAAAAACATGAAACATGACTTATACCCACAAGTTCTAAAAACTATCATAAATACCCAACAATACCATTATCAATAACATTCATTATATTATCGCAAACCATAGTCTCGAACATAAATAAATTTGATACAAAATTATCGTTTTTATAATGAACTACATGATACACTATCAGATGACCGAGAAGACGAAGCAACATTGTTACAACATAATAAATTATGGGCTCTTTTATAAAATACAAAAGTTTGGGGCAATTTTTTAAAAATATAATAGTGATATTTTGGCCCAAAACAAGCTATTGAGCTGATTTTGGGATTTGGGATTTGAGATTTGGGATTTTGCCAAAATGTAGGCAAAATCTATGGCCAAACATGTGTTTCCTAAATAAAACCCAAATTTATTTTGGCAAAATCTATGGCCAACGGGTCCTAAGTGATCATTTTGTCTTTGGCACACTTATTAAGAAAATACGAATTTCAAGAGAAAAAAATATATTTATTAAATTAACCTTAATTAATTGTTACCTTGACACATTGAAATATGTAAATAAGGGTAAATTTTGGAAAAATAAAATTAATTGTGGATACTTATTCTGGACCAAAATAAAAAGGTAAAATGATCATTTATTGTGCAACTGGGAGTACATTTTTTATTTACTTTTTCTGATGTATTATTCTATTAACAATTAAAACTTGTTAGCAAACATTGCATATTGTTTTTGTACTTCTAAACAAAATTTTCGAAAGCTGTCACAAACTTGAATTCCTAGGGTCATTATTACTATGATGTGCTGTAATAGGTAGTCCTGGCTATTATAATAGAAACCCTGCAAATTCCCATTTGGGAAATAGAGTGAGAAAACGGGCCCCACCTATTAGAAAAGCTATATATGCACTTATTTGTACATCACTTCCTTTATAATTTTGAATTTAAGAAAATGACATTTTTAAATTTATTATGGATAAAAAAATAGATATCTTATGTATAAAAAAAAATTAGAGTTATAAAACTAAAAATTAATTTGTAAAGCGGGTAAAAATCAATTGAATGGCCACTCTCGTTGGTATGCTATAAATAGAGCTAGAATGAGAAGAAAATTCAAACGGCCCCACCTATTAGAAAAGCTATACAAATGCATGACACTATAGCCCGTTTGGTCCACCTTCTATTGAGTTTATTTTGAGAAAAGTACTTTTCAAAAAAAATTATTTTGGTGAGAAATAATTTATGTTTGATTAATTAATTTAAAAAATATTTTTGAACATTAATTAATGTTTGACCAAATTTTTAAAATCTGCTTCTAATGGTATTTTTCTCAAAAGTGTTTCTCAGAAAAGTATTTTTGGAGATAAGCTACTTTTTTCTGTTTCTAAAAAATTATTTTTTTCCTTCAGCTTGGCCACTCAAATTTTTGAAAAAAATACTTTTGGCCAAGAACACATTTTTGGCAAAAAAGAAAGCTCGGCCAAACAGACCGAAGGAGCTCAACTGTGGCTTCTATAATAAGATAAAATGTTGACTTTTGACTTGTTATTTGTTCAGTAATTTAATCATTTAAATATTGAAAGTAGAAAATTTTTAAGCTTGCTTATTAGTTTAATGTTGATAAACTTAGCTTATGTGTTTTCTCCCGAAATACCAAGTTCATGCCACTTAGAGAATATTGATTGGTTGGAGAAAAAAAATTAACATAAATCCATGATTCATAATGACTCTTTTCTCATGAGTAGTTTGTTGTTTATATGTAAGAGTTTTTCGACATTTTCATGCCTAATTTAATCTAGACAAACATTGATAATGCCACTATCATTGAAAATGAACAACCAAATGAATATAAACTTGGATTGGTTGGTTTACGACATATTGTTTAGTTCATTTTACAATTTTTAACTCTTTATCACATTGAAATGCATGCTTATGCATTACCTTGACTTGCCACTTCTATCGTGCTAATTTCTTTCCACTTTGAGACTTTGGCTCTTCTGTTTTATCAAAATAACTACCAAGTATTATAATAGGAGTTCGAAATCCAAAACCTCAAGGGTAAAAAATTCATTAAATGTAGGTGTCTATTCCCACGAATACTAATATGGCTATAGCATGAATCTGTTCTTATCTTCAGCTGCTAGAGCAGAGGATAAGCAAAGGACACAAGTAAAACATATGTAACCTGTTCTCAGGATATATAGAGAGATATTTAGATCAGGAAGATGTATACAGATATGTTATAATGTCCGATAGCAAAAGTTGACAACTGGGAATCGGCAATAAAACTGAAATTCCGCCAATTTTTTGGTTAGATTTAGTTAGGGATGGCAATGGGGCGGTGCAGGGAAGGTTATGGGAAATGCGGGTGCGGGCGGGGCAAGGTTCAGATATCTTTTAACAAAATGTATGCGGGGGCGAGGCGGGTTGCGGTTGTGGAGATCCTGTCGATTCGTCACTTAGATGGTTGAATGGTTCTTTCCGAAAGGTGTTTAGCCTGACACTTATCAGAATATTTTTTTTCCTGGGGCAAAATTTTTAAAACTATAAATATCCAAAAACTTATCAAAAGCTTATTTCTAAAAGGTTATTTGGAAATATTATTCAAGCAACACTTGTAGGTGAAAATCGTTAGTCCTGTGACTAGCAGCCAAAGAAATTATAAGATTTTGTGGTAACACAAAGTAGGAAAAGTTAACCAAGGTGGAATGTTCCAGTATATAATTATTAGAGTGCAACTTAATTTCAATGCTAATTACTACAATTACAGTATATATCGCAAAGATTGCAAATCATAGTCCATCAAGTTTTCTACAATTTGTTGTCAAAAACCATTTTAAAATGTAAGATCTCTTGTCATGGGATAAAAAAAAACTAAATGCAAAAAGACAAAAGTTGAAGAAAGTTTATGTGGGGCGGGTTTATGCGGGTCCGGCAGGGCAGGTGAAAACAAAAAAACAATTGCTTGGCAGGGCGGGGCAGGTTGAGTTTTTGCAGGTTAAGACTGAACTCGCCCTCGCAACCACCCCATTGCCATCCCTAGTTTAGATCTATATCAGATCCTTACATCCTGTATCAACAGCTACATCAGGAAACACAACCCGCTTGGAAGTAGAGATATGCATTGGCTAGAGCACACACTAGAGATATCAATCCAAACATGTACAGTAAATAGTGCTGTTAAAATGCTGAGCAGCAGAAGATAGTAACAGAAAACTTCAGCTTCTCCCATGAGTTCCCGAGTCATAAATGAACTTATTCTCAACCACATATCCTACTATCCAGCTATACAATACAGGACCACACAAATAGAAGGATTGCTGTTCCTGTACTGTTTGGGAAAAGGGTAGGAATGGTTTTCTCCTCGCCAGTACTTACTATAAGAATACAGCTACAAATGCACATGGAAACTTCAAAGTGTCACAGCAATAAAGGGACATGATTGGAGTCGACAATAAGTAGCAATTACTGACATGACAGATGTTCATAAATCATAACCTCAAGATTACATTTAATTGTGACAAACAGATCAAAAATCTCCTTATAAAGGGTGCTATTACCAAGTTTCATCAATTCTCTAAAAAGGAACCAAATATCATACTGAAAGGAGCTCCTAGTCAAACAGACTGAACCCCATGTCGTCATCACTTTCTTCCTTGGGCTCTTCCTGTTCCACATTTCGACAAAAGCAAAACAAAAAGGTTAGAGAAAGGCCATAAAAATAATCTACTTTTACTTTTAGAAAAGAAACGATAAAACTGATATAAGTTTAACTTCATGGTTGAGAGAATCCCACCAACCACTAAATATTCTTTTGCTTTCTCTTGAGAGAATTCATGATTAAGAAAATGTTACCATTTTTCTAAAACAATTATACATTAGTCAGAAAATCACCAAAGCATGTTAGAATTCCCAATCAAGGAGATTATACCAATTACACATGCACCAATACCAAATCAGCCTTTTCATAACAAGTTCAATATCCAAACATAACATAAGATGATATTCAACATTAAAAGTATTCCAATATCTTTTCTAAATCAATTATTTCATAGGCATCTCTGCCAAAATATACTTCTTTTCATTGTTTTATGTTTTCCATATTGTTTCCATCAACCAGTGTAGATAACATCCAAAAATATGTTTGAAAGAAGATTGCAAGATCTACTCAATCACCTTTTCAACCAAATTAGTTTTTCTTCATTTTTTTTTTTTTGATTTTGCACCGGGTGTCCGAGTCTCTTTGAGAGACCGACTAATCCCGGGGGTGCACAGGCCCTCGGCAAGGAGTTTCCCGAAGTGCACCACGGTTAATTCAGGTTTTACCCAGTCCGATGGCCCTCAGAAATTGTTTGCACCCAGTGGGTTTCGAACTTGAGACCTTGAAAGGGAGCAAACCCCAAGGCTCAAGTCAATTGCCACCAGGCCAACCCCTGAGGGTTTAGTTTTTCTTCATTTTTATTGTCGCAGAAGTAACTATAACACATTCCATTACCTTCTTTTCCTCTGCAGCAGGGGCAGCTGCTGCAGCACCAGCACCACCACCAGCGGGAGCAGCAACAGCAACTGCAGCACCACCGCCACCAGCACCGACATTCATGATGAGATCCCCAAGGTTTCTCTTCTCAGCAAGCTTAGCAAACAGCAGAGGCCAGTAAGGCTCGACTGTCACATTAGCCGCTTTCACTAAAGCAGAAATTTTCTCTGCCTATTACCACATAAACATAACAAAAATATTAGAAAATGTTACACATCAAACAAAATACCATTATTTTAGACAAAATACACATCAAACCCCTGGGATTAGAAATCTTATGCACGCAAAGCACAATCAACATAAAACCAAACAATACATCGAAACAATAGAATTAGAAAAATATCACACATTAGTGTGTTTGCTACAAGGAAAAATGACTTCCAAGAAAATGTTTTCCATGACAGAGTCATTTTGTGATGTATTGTAAACAAAAGTATTTTCCACAGAAACATTTCCCATCGAACAGAGGAAAATAACTTTCCTCACCTATGGGTGGAAGTCATTTTCTATACAACTATCTTAACTTTCAACTTCATATTACTTGCTTCAGCTAATACTAGGGCATTATTATTAATCTCTAGCCGTCAAAATTTCATAAATACGCTCTCCAATTAGCTAATATTAATATTAACCTTTAATATACATTTCCCGAATCATATTTTCCACCGACTAACAAAACAACAGAACATATTCCATGAAATTTGATTTCGGCATACCAAGCGCACTTAAACACACAATCATGGTACAATAAATACAACATAAAAAACCGTTGGATTAAAAGTTTAGGGCAAGAGGCTCTTACAGTGATTGGAATGTCCTCGTCGTTGAGGATCAAACAAGCGTAAGTGCAAACTACTTCTCCGAGCGACATTTTGTTAACTTTACTGTAATTTCAAAGACTGCGAGTCAGAAAGTGATGAAAATTGTATGAAAATGCTCGATCGCTTTGAAAATGGCAGAAATAAATGAAAATGCTAAAAAATGGTTAAAATATATGGAAATGTTTAATCGCACTCAGAAAAATGGAGAAAATATATGAATATGCTTATTAAATTTGAAAATGGAAAAAATAAATGAACATGCTAATATACGGTGAAAATTACAAGTAAATGTTTAATCGCACTCAGAAATGAAGAAAAAATTGATTGAAATGCTCAGAAAATGGCGAAAATATATGAATATGCTTCTTAACTTTGAAAATGGAAAAAATAAATGAACATGCTAATACATGGTGAAAATTACAAGTAAATGTTTAATCGTACTCAGAAATGAAGAAATAAATTGATGAAAAAGCTCAGAAAATGGTGAAACTATATGAATATGCTTATATGCATTCAAAGTTGGAGAACATTGATGAAAATATTCTCATACCTTCGAGAAGACGGCAAAGGAGTTTACGGGGGTTGGGGAGCGATTGCAAGTCTTCTCTACTAGGGTTAGGGTTTAGAAAATGGCGGTGGTTATAAGGGGGTAGACTTATGAGTGAGAAGAAGTTATGGACCCAATTTTGTTAATGAAGCCCAATAAAGATCAAAGCCCATCTTTACACAAATAGCCGATCATATTCATTATTTTATTTTTTCTAGCCATATACATAGATAATACATAATTATGCATATATAATACATATATTATACATCAATCGGTTATTTTTAGTTTAAGTGGTTGGATGAGCGTATATTTGGGTTAATTCTCCAAAGAAAGAGAATCATCTACCGTAATGGCTAGAAGATGGCAAAAACAGGACACAATAAGGGATAGTCTTTAACTTTTGGCCTTTCGGGCAAGTCATCTACCAATCCGCAAAACTTTAAGTTTGGCTAAGCTTGTTAAACGTGAAGTTTTGTCCATTGGACAAATGACTCGTCCTAAGGGTCAAAAGTTCAAGATAACTCTTTTCAAGGTCATTTATGAACTTCACCTGTCAACTCTTCACCTTTTCTTGAACCGAGGGTCTACCGAATATAACCTCTCTACCTTATCGAGTAGGGATAAGGTTTGCGTACACACTACCCTCCATAGACTCCACTTGTGGATTGAACTGAATCTGTTGTTAAGTTGGATTGTGACTTGTTCAACTAATTTTGATTCAAACAAACTTTCAACACGAACTTGATAAATGGTTCTATTTATTAACTTAACCACTTTTATCCAACTCAAATTCGTTAAGTGGAGGATAAAACGTGGCATAGTGTGAGAGGAAAGTTGTAGGAACAGCATTTTTCACATCAAAATGCGTCCAACTTAAGTTTGGCGCAAATTACAGGCTATCATGATTCATGACTATGAAATTTCATTCCCTTCAGTCTATGTTACTTCATCCATTGAGTAGATATATAACGATTAACTATGTCCCAATTCCAAATTAATTAAGATCGACTGTATGAAACTTATATATGTTAATAAGTTTAAATAACATTTGAAATGTTCCTGTTTTGTAGTTACACAATATTTGAACAAAATGATTGCAATAATACCTATTTATACAACTCATTATCAGCCAGAAAGAGCAAACATGACATCTATAGCAGTACAAAATTGATCATATGGTAGAGCAGAAGTCATATATATGGTTTGTGTTACATGCATATATCAGTTAGCATTTAACTTCATTCGCGTAACGAGACATTTTGGCATCAAAGAACACCCGGATTTTAGGCTGCAACCATCGTCAGAAAACGGGTTCCCAATGCAATTGTCAACCCTGAATGCCTCTGGTTAATGCATTTCTCTGGTTTCTTCTTTGAGAGGTAACACGGGCTATTCTTCCCACGTTCGATCTGCCTTCAAGCGATGGGACAAGATTCCGACAGATAGTAAATGCTTCCAGTATTAGCAAGTAGTTGAAGCCACGTCGATAGTTGATGGTTCTGCAATTTTTTCAGCAGAGTCGTTCAACTTCCTCTTTTTCTCATTGTGGCGCTGCTTATTTGAAGAACGGTCAGCTTTGGAAACAATTTCTGAAACAGTAAAGCCAGCAACTTCAAAATTATATGATCTGTTTGGAAGTAATCCATTACGAACTATGACATCAACGCCATCATATGTCCAGACACCTAGTTTAGCCTCTCCCTTAAGTCCAATGGCAAACCAACCAAGACCTGAAGCAGCAATATCAACAGAACTTGAATCCCACGAATTCCCACTCACATGAAATTCCCTCTTCAACCATTTCCCTAGCTCCTCAACTCGTCCCTCTCCAATCGGCGGCTGACACAATGAAGGAAAAAAAATACAGCATTTAATGATATCATATCAATCAGCCAAATGGTCAAAGCATGAAACTAGTACATGAGTTTTCTATATCCAAGGGTAGTCCGATGCACAAAGCATCCCGCGTTCACGCAGGGTCCGGAAAAGGGATGCACCACAAGGAGTGTAATGTAGACAGTCGACCTTAATGCAAGCATTATTGACTGCTTCCATGGCTCGAACCCATGACCTATAGGTCACACAGAAAAAAATTTACCGTTTCTATATCTGCTGGGAATTTTGAATTAGTACATGAAAGTAGTACATGAGGTTTCAAAATAGAGGGTCCTTTTATTACCCTAAAACCATCTTTTATTACCAAAAAGCATTTTTTTACTGGGTTAGTTATACAATTGGCCGCTCGGTCAAAAATATTTACAGCCCCGAGCCAATATACATATATTATACACTAATTTTGTATAATATATACATATGCCGGCTATCTTTTTGGGCGGGCGGCGACTAAAGTTAACTTCTCTTTATTTATTCTATTATGTATTTAATCCTATCACTCAAGAGTCCAACACAGTTCTAAACATAGCATCAGACTCTTGCACTATAATGCCTTCTACTTCAAACTCAAGAGCTTGATTCCCTACATCAAAGGGCAACCTGATGCACTAAGCTCCCGCTATGCGCGGGTCCGGAGAAGGGCCGGACCAGAAGGGTCTATAGTACGCAGTCTTACCCTGCGTTTCTGCAAGAAGCTATTTCCACGGCTTGATTACCTACATCACTCCCCCGCAATACTACTATTGGGTGGCCAAGATTTTCAGCAAAACTTTCAAACTCTTTCACTCCATCACTCAACGTCATGGACAGCGTCCAAGTCAGCTTCAAGCTTTAGGTGCTCCCACATACTCTCAAAATCAGAGCTAACAAATTACTCCCATCAGTATTTTTTTTTTCTTTTCTGCAGTTAAACTAGATTTATAACACTAGTATTGAACTGCATGCAAAGAGTAAGAAAAAGAAAAAACAAAAAAACATGCAATATCATAAGCTTCGGACAAAAGGACTATGTTAAAAATAAAGATTTAAAATTAGAAAGAGAGAAAGGAGAATATTCGAATCCTAAAGCAAATGATACCTGCAGCTGACGCCCAAAATGTTCTTCCAGCATTGTGCCGACGTTCTCTGTCCTCCCCATATGAAGCGGAATCAACGGAGATGCCCAAACTGTAACATACACAGAATCAACAGATAATTCTTCCACGTCCAACCTCATGAGCCCACCTATATGAACTGAATGTCCTACCTGTCCACAGCAAGTAATGAAATCATGAGATTTCCAAGTGGATGCCGCAACTAAACTAGAGAAAGCAGGTTATTCAAGTGAAGTTCTGGGTATAGGCATAAGCAGACACATCTAATGGAGGTAGGTGATATGAAATGACAAAATTTATGCCGTATTTTCATTTTTAGATCCTGTATCAGAGATGACACAGGCAACCATTACATATCCACGAGCATTTTACAGGTTAATAATCTAATCTCAGTTATATCTTTTCTGAGCATACCTTGCCATTAGATTCTTTTTTTAATGCTCTGAAGCTTCACACAAAGCATTTCGCTTGAACAAAAATCTTTTTACAATGCGGAAAAAAGTAACAAACATTTTGTTAGGTAAGTAAGTTTAGAAGAAACGATCATAAGGCAATCATATATAGTTGATTGCAACATATTACAAGCACTGAAATGCATGATGCAGGGGAGAACTTAAGCCAGTATACCTGCTCAAAAATGAGAGAGAAATGATGAATTTTAGCAAAAGCTGATTCCTTTTTTAACTTCGCGTTATCTATTAACAATTTGTGCAAAGATTGGATAAGACTAAGACGAGCATAACGAGATGGATTCAGTAAATCTTCATTATTTGCATTCACCTTGTAAGAAACTACCAAAGGAAAACTAAAAGAGCTTAAGTGATTGAAGATAATTTCTCCGAAAGAAGGATCCAAACAAACTCAATAAATTACAGAGTTATTATTTGCAATCTGACACTCAAAATTGAAGATGAAGTGCGGAAGAAAGCTTTGGAAGTAAAATAACACATTTTTAAGGAGCCAGAAGGAAAAGTATGAACCTTGATCCTATATGTCCTTGGCCTCAACTCTTTACTTATATGAACTAGCTTCTGCTCATTCCTGTTCAACCTCGTCGAAATCTGATGAGGATGTAAAAGCCCCGGGGTATCGAACAACTTGGCATTCCCAGGAAGCACCCCTTCCACTCTCAAAATCCCTAATGTAGTTCCTGGCACCGGAGCCTCCGTTAAATGAGTTACCTTCCCACCAAAACACTTTCCAATCGCATTGATCAATGTGCTTTTCCCAGCATTTTGTGCCCCTACTGCCCAAATATGGCCTCTCGGCCCAGCCAATTCCACTACGTCATCAACCAAATTCTTCACTCCCCAATCTCTCACTGCACTAACCATATGTACACTCGTCAACTTAACCGCCCCGCCCTCTCTTGCCCTTGTTCTAACCCAATGTTCAAGCCTAGTAGGTGACAATGAGCTAGGTAAAAGATCAATCTTTGTAACTACCAATACCATTCTAGGTACATTCCCCGATTTTCCCTCCTTCCACGCCCGGGAATTCTCTTCAATTGATTTAGACACTAACCGAGCTACTTTCCTAGGAAACGATCCATCAAAATCAGATGCATCAACCACCATTAGAACAACAGCTCTCGCCCCGCTACTCGACATCAACCTCCTCCCAACAGTGTGATCAAAATCAAAATCAGGCAACAAATTCTCTACACTAGGGTCCTTAACTTTCCCATAATGCCTTAAACTATGACACCTAGCACAAACTACTGGCTTTCCAATTTTCTCAACTGTGTTTTCAAGATTTTCTTGATTTTCACATTCTACAACCTCATTAAGTAAACCCCTTTTGAGAGAAACTGATATTTCTGGCTCATCAGCAATTGGATTCTTGTTAATGCGTTCTCTATAATTTGGGCTTTTAATTGAAGGCTTAATGAAATACCCTGGTTGTCTTGGGGCAGAATCTTGCATAGTGACACCACAACCAGGGCAAATGACATTCGAAGTAACTTCCTCAAAATTCCCATCTCTAGAAAGGGGTAAAGATTGGATTTTTGAGGGTGTACAGAAGTTTCTGAACAAGAAATGAGGGATTAGGGTTTTAGCAGGGTTTTGGGTATAAGGGATTCTGTCAAGAATTGGAGGTAAAGAGTTGGGT